CCTACGGATTTACCATAGGAGGCTCGGCTTTACAAGGACGTGCCCTGTGCACTGGAGTGTTTCGTTTCGTCCTGGTGCCCTAGGGACGCAGCAGAAAAACAGCAAAGACTAAAGGTAAGGCCGCGGCCAAACAACATACACATCGCTGCAACCCCCGAGTGTTGAAAAAGGGGGTGAAGGAAAAGCATGTTTAGTCTCCCCCGGCTACTTCACGGTTGGTGTCGTCTCGAATTTGGGCCTTCTGGTTCCCCGAATTCCTGGTACGGTTCGCCTCAAGCAGGTGTGTTGAAAAGAAGCTAGGATTATGAGCCAATGTGGGCTCAACGGAATGGGTTTGCCTGAGAAGGGCTGAGAGGGTTGAAGACTCCCCAAGTCTTGCTTAAAGAATTCACACCTTGAGGATCGGAACTGCCACACGGATAGTACGATAGTGCATGATTGCGTGTTTGGGGTCCCCCGATGCAAAGGAACATTGCAGAACAAGTCAAAACGTGCAGGACGAGTACTGGGTGGTTTCCCCTTTGTCTTTGACTAGTGAAGCCACTGGGCATCAGCGAATATACGGTGGCTGTAACAAGGGTCAAGCAAGTAGCAAACATGTCATGAAACATTCCCCCAACCCGCATATTCGATCTCCCCCGAATTTTCCGCATGCCTCTTAGTTCTTCACTTCATGCGAGCGTTTCTCATATGTCGCTGCACCTGCTGTATGGCGCGCCACAGGTCTGTCCCCCCTCTCTTGGGGCTGCGACTCGGTGTACGAGGCCTCCTTGCACCCGCCGAATTCGGGCTGGCGCTGTCTGATAGGCGTCGTTCCCCCAATGGCCAACTCATCTCTCGCGACAGTGTGTCTGGGATGACCGGGTTGTCGTCATCAGCGCGGTCCCCCCCATGTCATGTGGGAAGGTTGTGGCTGGTTGCTCGTCGTCAATATGCCTCCCCAGTCGACTTCAGGCTCTGGGTCCCCCGCTGACGTCGTCTCTGCTGGTACGACTGCATGGGCTGTGTCGGGTGTGTCCTTCCCCTCCGTGGTGTCGTGCTTGGCTTTCTTCTTGCTGCGCTTCTCCTTTTTCTCTCTCTCTCTCTCTCTCTCTCTCTCGCTCTCTCTTGCTTGCTTGCTTGCTTGCTTGCTTGCTTGCTTGGGGTTTGAGGGCGAACCCTCCGGCCCGAAGGCCAACCCCCTCAACGGTCCGCGCGAGTTCGTTCGGTAGCCGCATTGGGGGGTGAAGATGATGCTGTTCCCCTCAGTGTGCCTGTAACCCCTCGTCCCCAAGGAACACCCCTCCTAAGACCCTAACCATGCGCAACCTTGTAGGCTCCACTGAGGTCATCCAGTCATCTTCGGAGCAGCTAGCGAGGGAACTGGCTTCTTCCACAAAAACAACCTGCAAGGCAGCTACCTTACTGCGAACTTGTACGACGGCCAGCGTCCCCCGAGCGAAATTCCCCTGAGCGGCGGCAAGCAACTTCACAAACTACCGCTTATAACATGTCCCACCAACATGCTCTCTCTCTCTCTCTCTCTCCCGGGTATAGGGACGTGTCACCGTCCCCGGGCAACGTGCCCACCCGATCGTATTGATCGGGATGTGCGGGGAGTGAGGAGCGAACATTAGTCACCCAAGCGCTAAGGCTAAGTTAGTAAGCATGGAAACAACCTAGGGTGATTGAATGTTCTCTTGCTTGCTTGCTTGCTTGCTAGGCGTCTGGGCACGAGGGAGGCCCCCAATGCCCTGCGCTCACGCGCTACGCCGTTGTCCGAGTATTGAATGTTCTCTCTCTCTCTCTCTCTTTCTTTCTGGTGAGGTCCCCCCCCCCCACCGTGCTGTCGCGCACCCCTTTTGGCGCGGAGTGTACGGAGGAGGGGTGCTTAGGTTTCCGACCTCAGCAGTACAGGAGAGGACAATCAACCAGCTTGTCATGATGTTGTGTCACATGTATGTGACTCGAGTGCACGTTCAACAGAGTGCCCTGCTATCTTCTCCTGGCCCCCTCTCGTTCAAGTTACCCGGCGGGTTCTCCCGTGGCAGTCAACTTGGCCCCGAAGTGCATACGAACACGTTCACCCAGCACTAGTCCGGTAC